CGTGCGTTGTGTTTGCTCATTAAACGGATTTAGCCAGGCGCAGATTGGGATAATATCACATTGGCCGTATTCGATTCTGAATGCTCTTTATTATTTTGTATAAAAGAGGGTAATATATGGGTAAAACGAGGAAGTAAAGATTTAATAAAGAATGCAATAAGAAATATCTTAAAATATTTTTAGACATTTTATATTTTTATGATAGTATCTACATCTACAAATTAGTTACATTAATAAAGGTCTTAAGCAACTTTGACTGGATTTATTTATATCATTATTTCATTTTAAAATTAAGTGTCATAAGGCCTTAATCTTAACAGTTCTAGAGGAATAATTCTATAATAATTCATGATAAATTCCCTGGAATTTCAATGTATTTCCATAAACAATTATAAAAAGTGTATATCAGCTATCCCCATTCAACCATATACCCTTACACAACCTGAATTATTACTCGTCCCTGGACAGGCGTCATCAATTAGCAGGCCGCAAGTCGAGTGATTATAGCCAAGTTTGCGGAAAAAATTGACAACTGGGGAGCGAGTGTTGCGAGCAGGCCTAATGAGCAAACCAAAACCGACGGCGTGGCCTTAACGCCACTTGCGAAATCACATGTCAAAAGTTATTAGCCCGGCGTGTAATTTGCGACGGGCTGATTACCGAAATGTACATGAAACAAATAAACAAAGTCATTTGGCTTGGCCAGCAGGAATAACAAAATTCGTTGCCAAAAAGTTGGGATGTAGCTCTGCTGTCATTGCCAAAATCCTGGGCCAAAGTTGCTCGATCTGAGGCACCGCCTTTTCCGCCCCTGTCGATTCATGCTGTCAATATCGTGGCAACATATTTCCTCGCTTAATATTTTCTCCTCGTTTTTTTTTATTTTTATTTTTCCCTGGCTCCTGTCGCTATTTCAGTGGCTGTTACTGTCTGCGCGGACGTGAGGGCGTTAAACTCATACATCACTTTATCCCAGCTCTGGGCTCCAGTTCCCTTATCCTGCATCCTATGTCCTGGGACGTTGGCAGGCTCCCTAACTAACTGCCTGAACTCGCCTGCTGTTTGTCTTGGTCTGGCGCGTTTTTCTCGCACCGCGATGTGTGTCAAGAGTTGCCAATAAAGCGGCAACAGCAGCAGCAGAAGTAGCAGCTTCCCAATTCTCAACCCGATGATCGCTCCTGCGGAGAAGCTATTGAAAATAAATTTATAACGCATACGTCATGTGAGCCAAGACAGAGTTCGCAGTTTATTGCATTTGTCGCTGGCATTGCAAAACTTCAATAAATTATTTTATTGCGACAGTTATTTTGCTTGCTTTTGCCCTCTCACTGACTCGCATGGGTTTTTATGAATTTGTTCAACTTGCCAGCGTATAAGTACGATATATGTATCCTATATCTATATCGAAATCCATCTGGCAGGAGCTAACTTTCTGTCAGTTGGCATTTTCGTTCATTTGGCACTCAAGTCTTTGGCAGCCAAATTGCAAATGACTTTATGAATTTGCTGTTACGACTTGGACAAGCTCCGATGACCTTTTGTAGATGGGGAAAAATGGCATGGCATTCGTATAGTATGTAGTAATAATCAACCCTATACCGAGATGAAATTGATTCCGCATGAGGCATAAACTCGGAATTGCATAATAAATTTGTGCACCAGCATAATGAATTGTTGAAAGATGGTTTTCTTGTTTATGGGTAAGGGAAAACCAACAGACAATTGCTACGAAACCGAGTGGGTTTTATAAGGCATAACATGTTGATTGATACGAAGACAGCTCGATGGTCCGATCATTTTGCGGCCATATCAAGTCCCTTTAGCCCAGACCCATTTCAATCGAGCATTAAGCACACTTTGTCAGTCATAAAGGGCCAAAACACTTTCGTTCCCCTTCATCAAAAGTTGACACTTTGCAAGTTAACCTTTAATGAAAAGGCCAAACAAGCCAGCAGCAGCTCGAGGGCTCATTGTGAAATTACCCAAAGCGCAAAGAGGGCGCAAACGACAGGAAAAAATAAGAAAATGGAACTCTGGCTGGTAGTAGTATGGCCAAGGGCTATGAAACACTCCCTTTTCCCACTGCTGGCATCCTAGTCAAAGAGGCAATAAGTAGCAAAAATTACGCTAAACGTGGCAATTTCGTCGCAAATTGCACAATATATACACAAAGCGAGTTTGTATGCCCTACGCATGTCTGGGGCGGTAGGTCCTTCGTCTACTCAATTTAACTATGGAGAGGAAAATATGTTAATATATTAAGGTAGTACTTTTAATACCCTTTGACACAGAAAAGGTTAATTTAACGCCGATTTCTCAATGTCATGTTAAAGGTAAAGTTAACATAAAGTTAAAAATAAATAAAAGAGCAACACAATGTTAATTAAAGGCTGATTTCTCAATGTCATATTAAGGTTCTGGTTTGTTAGACAAAGAAATATTAAATTTCTAACGAAAACGTTAACTCAAGGACAAAGGCTAACATGACATTGAGAAATCGGCATCTGTTATAATACAATTTTATTAAAAAAAGGTTTAATAGAATTTTTAACAGCATTCCAATTAAGATCCAGTTTCTATTATGTTTAAATAAAACTCATAGCTCCATTCAGTAACACATGCTAGTATCATTTTATTACGTTGACAAATTGCTGATAAAAGCGTACTTTAACCGGCAAAAAAGAGAGTATAATAAGGCCCATCGAGCACCGTGGCAGGTATTTTTCATCCGTCAAAGTACGAAGCACCCATAACTGGCGCACTGCAGATGCCCAGGTAAAATCCGGGGCCAGGTGGCAAGCTGAAGCCTGTCAATTTCTACATGGCCCGCACATGAGGTGGGTAAAATGGGGCAGGATATGGGACAGAAATTGGGGGGCAGGACAGGAGGAATCGGGCGATATTTTAATGCGTGTCATATTTGATTGATGCCAGCGCAGCGCGACGCGGAGCCGTGGAACAATGTCAAGCGTTTAACATTGCCCCGAGCGCCACTCAAAATGTCAAGGCAGTGGGGTGTACCCCAACCCCAACCCCTAACCCCCAACCCTTAACCACCACCCCAACCACCTTTTTAAACCCTGTCATTTCCGCTCTTTTTTTCGCCCTGCAAAATTGCCCCTGCAGGTATGCAATGAAAAAGTGCGTAAGGGAAACCCATTGTTCCTTTGATTGAGTGTGAGTGTGAGTGCGTGTGTGTGAGAGTGGATAGGAGTGTGTGTGAGTGCCTCTGTTTTGTGTAATTTAACATGGCAGTTTGTTAACAATTTTATCAGGCCCGAGATGTTTCGCCTACCGAATAAGGGGAAAATCGCTTCGAGAGCTGTAAATACAGAGTGTGAGTGTGAGTGTGGGTGGCATAATTTATGCCCAGACTAAGTGCATTATGTTTGGTACCCAGGGCTTTTAGTTGCCCCCTCCCCATTTATCTGCCCCCCAAGGCAGACTCAATTATTTGTGGCAATTGGCAGCGGCAGTTGGCGCAACTAATTTGACTTGAGCGGCGTATTGTAGGTAAACAAGCAAACATATGGGCTTGAATATGTGGGATTGTATTTAATTATGGCAAAGGGATACAGAACAACACAAATCTGAACAGGCTTTAGTTATATTTCTGACTTGGTATTAAGTATGTGAAAGGAAAATACCTATATGTAGATAGAAAGCTTTCTTATCCTTTGAAAATAGAACAAAATGATTTGTTTTTCGCACTTAAAAACATCATTGTCATCTAAAAAAAAATGTTAAATTTGAAATGGTTATCTTAAGACACCTTAACTTATACCGCTAAGTCATATAAATGTGTTGTAGATGCTCCTTTGTCATCTTCCTTTTTTAGAGACGCCTAACCCTTGTGCCACAGTGTAACCCGTAGTTAATATCTAGCTTCTGTTGATTAACCGCCTAAGCGCATTAACCCCTTAAGTTATTAACCCGGTGACTAGCCCAACCGCTAACCCCCATCCAACGCCAACATCAATGTAGCATCATTAACCGCTCCGACTCTGTGCATACTCCACCATTTTCTCCACTCTGTCTCACCCGATATTCATCTAATTAGCCCCACTGTAACCTCCGCACCCTATATATAGCATTCATAACATCCTCTTCCCACCAAAAAAAAAAACACACTCCATACTTTGCCAACCAAAAAAAAAAGAAAATAGAAAACGAAAACTTGGCCAAGTGTTTTACCGTTCTCTGCTGCTCGTTTCTCGATCTTTTGCAGGATGGACATCGCGGCCATTTAGAGGGCCTGGCATCCGTCTATTGCGAATTGCTAATGGCTCCCTTTGGGGACATTTTGGCGGCTCTCGAGCAGGCGCGCCAGGCGGCCTGGGCGGAGCGGAGTCCGCTGCACAGTACCGCCCAGTTAGTGGGAGGCGGTGGCGGCGGGGGAGGATTAGGCGGAGGAGGTGGGGCTGGCGGCAGCACGGGCAGCGGCAGCGGCGGTGCGGCCAGCGGTGGCAGCGGCGGGAGCAGCGGCGTCCTGCACCACCGCCAGCAGCACGGCCATCGCGGCCATTCGATGCACGGCGCCGGTCTGCCCAATAGTCATAGCCAGCCCATTTATGTGCCCGGAAAGTACTCGGTATGTATGATGATGATGACCCGGAACCATCTAACCACCCACCCACCCATCCAACCACCCAATCTTCCCGCCTCCTTAATCACCCACGAAAAAAAAAATCCCACAAAAATAGAAAGACTCCATTAGCGGTCCCCTAAGGAAAATATTTACAAAATCAACAGAAAACGGAATTTTCCAAAACGAAAAAAATGAAAATTGATGTTGGCGTTGCTTAAAAAAATAACAAACGAAAAAACCATTAAGCATCTATTTGAATAAATCTATTTAATTGTGTGTTAAGAATTGTGTAAATATTTTTTGCTTGCTTGCGTTCTCCACTTTCACTTGCATGTTGTCTAGTAGCTGTGTGTATTTTGCCCCCAAAAGAGTAAACAATAAAATCACTAATTTGTATAAACAATTTTTGCAGCCCTCGAGTTGTTTGTCGGACAAGGAGGAGGATGAGATCTATGGATTTGGCTATGGCGTGTTTGCACCCCGTGTGGCCAGGGGAGGGTTAACGCAACAGCAGCAGCTGTTGCAACAGCAGACGCTGCAGACGCAGCAGAGCATACAGCAGCAGCAGCAGATGCAACAGCAGCATCAGCAGCAGCAACAGTTACCAATTGTGCCAGGCCAACAGCAACAGGCGGGAAATGGACCGCATCAGCACCAGACTCTGCCCCCAAATGTCGCCCATTTGAACTTTGTGCAGCAAAAGTGAGTACTGGATTTGAATAATTTCGAATGCCCTCCATTGAATATTGATGCTTATACAAATTCGCTTTTATACAGCTGCCTGAGTCCGCGTTCTGCTTATTTTTATGAATTTCCACCGACAGCAGGTAAGTTGAAGTAGAACAAGCCATGGAAAAAAATTTCTTAACCTTGCTTGGGTTTTATAAAGCTTTTATGAAAAGGTGATGAGGCGATAGTCGAAAAAGAATCCTTATAAATTAAACAAATCGAAAATCCTAAGTAGTGGAAAAAGTTGAAGTACACAGTTGTGAACTAAGTAGGTTAATAAATACAAAGTTCAATTTTCCGAGAAAAAGGAAATCCTGTAAACAATACAGAAACTCAGGAAACTTAAAGAAAATGAAGTTGTAAACTATGCTTATTAATTACAAATTAAATTTTCTGAGAAAAAGGAAAATCGTGTATTGACAATCACAATCTAAACAGAAAAGTGGTTATTTTTTAATAAGTGAACAATTTTTTTTTAATGCTTAGACCACAATTTGTGAGGTTTTAAAAACCATTATATTTACTTGGTTGTTTATTAAGTTAAAAAAGTAATTTAAAGTCTATAATTTGAAATGATAGCCCCCACTGCAAGGTTGTGAAACTTCTAGAAAAAAGGGAAAATGTAAATCAGACGCCGACTTGAATTCCCTTTACTAATTCAATTTCTATCCTCTTTTCCAACGACTTTTCCCCCGCGACTTCTAGAGGGTCGCGAGACAAAGAAACGCACCACACTGGCCCGATTGCTGAAAGGCTTGAAGACTGTCAATCGACGGGATCGGAACAATCAACAAAATGGCGCCCAGGCCAGGGTAAGTAAAGTACTCCCTCAATACAATTTCCCCCTGAATTTTCCCCCTTTTCCGTATTCCCCCCTTTGCCCTTCTGCCAACTGAAACTCATTTTCGCGCTTCGTTTTATGACCGCAAGCAAATTGTTTGTCCTGTCCCGCAACTTTTGTGTCCCCAGCCTTTCATTTGAATCAACTGCTGCGGTAATTCTTTCAATTTATTTGCTCGCATTTCGTTTGGTTTCCTTAACCATTCCCAACTACCACTTCTTTCCTCGAGCTGCCTTCATCTAGGCTGCCATTTTATGACTTTCTGCGTCTTGACTTGAATATTCCGCAGTGTTCTGTGTGTAGTATACTTAATCTTGGCCCTGGGGACATGTAAATTTTTATGCGCGCAGCTTCTTCTCCTTTTGCCAGCTGAAAAGGTTAAAAATGTTTTGCCCACGGCCATGTCTACATTGCCACTTCTCATCCTGGCTGCAACAGTGGCAAGCTTCCTTCCTTTACCTTCACCCCGGCAAGTTGTTGTACGTTCGCTTTATCTGCGCCGCGCTCACAAAGGATTCATTCAGCGCCTTTGATTAGAGCAACCTTTGGGGAAAAGCATCAGGATCGAGGAGCTGGCTATGGAACAGCTGGAACCAGCGGAGGCACTATTCTTGAGCCGAGCCTGGCAATGAAACTGCGGCCAGGAGCAGAAGAGATAACGTGCCACAGGACGCTGCTCATAAATAAGCAAGGACATGCATAAATTTTTCACAAGCAGCACAGAAAAGAATAAATAAGGCAGGAGAGAAGCGAGCAAAAAAATATAAATAATAAACTGCCAGGGGGAGGAAAAAAGGCAGAAAAAAAGCCAGAAAACCAGGACCTGCTACACAGATAAGCGCAGGAAATGACTAAGGATATGTGCCTAAGTAGCGGCATCCTACTCAACAGCCGTGGCCTTTCAAAATATAATTAAACAGCACTCACCTGGGCCATGCGTTCGTTCCATCTCCCACCTGATTTGCTATTTATGATAAGAAAACAAACGCATTAAACAGCCGCGCAGAGCCGAGAATAAGGGTCGAAGGGTGACCCTAACCTGACCCTTGACTCGTTGTTAATTAAAAATTAAAGCCCCGCTGAAAGGTGTGAAATACAAAATGGCGTCCTAATGGCGATAAAGCACGATGCTTTCAAGGAGTCCTTGATTTACGAGCAGCCTTTTTCCCCCCGCAATAACATCCTTCCATAACCTTTGTGCATACTTGAGAAAGTTAATAAGCCCGGCGATTGAAGGCACACGCCACCTTATTCGCAGCCCGAAAATGAATTTAAAACTTTGCTCTAAATTGATTCTTTCTGCATTTTCTTTCCAGGCGGCCAACGATCGTCTGAGGCACTTTCAAATGATAAACGGCGGCGCCGGCGGACAGCAGCACAGTTTCGAGGAGACAATCCACAGGGTGAGTGCCATAAAAACCTGGATGCACCGATAAACAAAATGGATGTACATTAATAAAGCATTTTAGAAAGAGATTGAGATTTAAAAAGAATTTTAAGCAGGTCTGGAAGTTATAAATTTAAATAGCAAAATAACTAAAAGCACTGATAAACAAAATGAATCCAAATCAATAACATATTTTAGACAGAAATTCAGATTAAAAATCATTTATTTTGGTGCTTTTACTTTAACAACTATTTTAAAGAAATCAATAAGTTTACAGGGTTAAAACAAGGAAGAACGCTATAGTCGAGTACCTCGACTATCAGATACCCGTTACTCAGCTAAATGGAGATATGCAAGCAGCAAAGCGAGATTAAAATGCGCCACCTACCGGCGGTATACAGATTTAAGCGTTATGGGCGTTAGAGTGGGCGTGGCAATTTTTTTTTGGATCAATCGATAGGTATCGACAAGACCAATACATTTCAGTTAAAGTTTTTTATCTAGCATGAAATTGTGGGCGTCACAGGTTTTCGCGGTTTGTGGGCGTTAAAGTGGGCGTAGCAAACTTTTTTTTGGGTCAATCGATAGGTATTGATGAAAACAATACATTTCAGTTAAAATTTTTATTCTAGCATTAAAACTGTAGGAGCCACAGTTTTGGGCGGTTTGTGGGCGTTAGAGTGGGCGTGGCACTGTGCTGAAACAAACTTGCGCTGCGTAAGAAGCTCTGGAATCTGCACGCCAAATCTCAATAGCCTAGCTCCCATAGTTTCCGAGATCTCAGCGTTCATCCGGACGGACAGACAGACGGACAGACGGACAGACGGACAGACGGACGGACGGACAGACGGACAGACGGACAGACGGACAGACGGACAGACGGACATGGCTAGATCGACTCGGCTAGTGATCCTGATCAAGAATATATATACTTTGTGGGGTCGGAAACGCTTCCTTCTGCCTGTTACATACTTTCCGACGAATCTAGTATACCCTTTTACTCTACGAGTAACGGGTATAAAAAGCTGAGATTTTTTTGTACCTTAGTTTAACTGGCATATGTGTCGTATGAGTAATTTTTAAGGAACTTTTAAAATTTTCTATGAAGACGATGCTGAATCTTAAAATATAATTATTAAGATTTATAATACATTTGTTATACATCATAATCTACTATTAAAGTGAGGGAATATAATTTTTTCTACTATTTTAATACAACATTTAAAGAATTCTAACAGATAAGACATAAATTTATATCAAACAAAAACCAGCACTACAGAAAAATGTTATAAAAATGTTATCAGTATTTTATACCATCATATACTCCTTGTTTTTTAAAAACTATGTTTCTCCAGCATGTTTAAAAATGCGTGTGCTAGTGGGATGTTTGGTTGGTTAGAATGGAATAGTCGCATAAATATTTATGCAGCAAATTTAACAAGCTGATGTTTCTGCTATGCTGCTGCTGCTTTGCTTCTGTGTTGCAACAGCTGCGACAGGCAACAAAAATTGTGTTGCAACAAAAAAATTTGCACAAACTGCATGAGAAGCGGCAACAACAGGGGTAAACTTTTCGCACAAACGCCACCCCTCCTTTTTCGACTGCATTTGCAATGCAATTTCAACACGAAAGCTGCGGCTGTTGCTTTTGAGCACGTTTACCTGTAATGGCATGCCACCAGCAACAACAATTGCAACAGCCCTAGGGGGTGGTGGAAAGAAAGAGGAAGTGGCAGCGTGTGGATGCATGCAACATTTAAAAGTTCATTGCCGTCAACATTCATTATTAATGACAGCGCGCACGGCGCCAAACTAAAAACAAGCAGCAAAATGCAATCAACGGCGACAGCAGCAACAGACAGACAGACAGCAGCAACACCTGCAACAGCAACATCAGCAGCAGCAACACCTGAAGCAACAGCAGCTGTAACAATAGTTAGAAAATGCATAATGCATAGCCAAACATCCTCCAATTCAAAGGCACCCCTTTGCTATTCGCTACCCAAAAAGTAGACTTTAAATTTTCGTTAGCCAAGAAATTAGTTGCCGCGTTCATAAATAAACAAAGTCACTCAGCAAACGACAAGAGCTAACAAACCATTTTCCAATTGCAGTTGAAAGTACAAGAGGCCATGCGGAAAAAGGAAAAATTTCAACGTGAACACGAGGAGGTAAGTGACTTGAGCATATCTCAAAAATAAACCAACTATCCAACATCCTGTGCCAACCACAAGCCAAAGATTTATGCCTTCAAGATGTCTATTCCAAAATTGATAAATGCGTATGGCAAACATTTGCAGTTTCCAGGGATAAATCAAGCATATTTGTTCTGGGCACTTTTCACAAATTAAATAAACATAAAACACTCACAGCCCGGAGGGTTGAAAGTTGACTGAAATTGCAGTGGGCTAGTTGGTTGCACTATTAATTTCACAGATTCCGTAGCCTTTTATTTGCATGCATTAAATACACAAACGGAAGAAACAGTTGCAATTGCACAGGCCAAAAGGTTTTGCTTGCTTTTTCTTGCCCTCCAGCTTACAGTGCGTTTCGGTGCTGTAAGCTAGCTTTTAGGATCGGTAAATAAATAAAGTTTTAGAGGGCTTAGCCAAAAAGAAAATTACAGTAATTTAGATTGTTTATTTAAAAAAAAACTACCCAGTAAAGATAATAAAGTTTATGGTCAGCGCAAAGGCCCCATAAACTTTTTGATTCTTTTTGAACTTATGCAGAAATCCACTCATAAAATTTCGCCTAATTGCGAAACATAAATGCAAGCAACTTATAGTTGCGTCACGCACTGTTTGCATTCGGACTTGTTTTTGCAATATATAAATGCTACGACTTCTACATGCACAAGCCAATTAAAAAAGCTATTAAAAATATTTGATATAAAAACAGCAATTATTCCAAGGCATAAAAGCCCGAAGACCAGGCCAAAAGCTCGAGCTGCCAAATAAATGTGTGTGTGCGAGTGTGAGTGGCGAGCAAACATGCAAAACAGAGGCAGACAAAATGTTGAGCACACAGATACTCACCAATACACCCCAAAAACGAGGCAACAAAAAACAATGAAGTGCAACGTGGCGAATGATAAACTTTGGTCTGTCATAAAAAAAAAAGAAATGTACTTTCCTCACTTGAAAACGTTGTCCAAACGAAGCACATGATAAAAACGGATGGGCGTGTCGGTGAAAGAGACTAACTTATTTATATTTATATGTATGCCAAGAGAATTAAATGTGAAAGCCGAGCAAAATATATTTCATGTTGATTGCTTGATACCCCGGGCTGATTGATTATATAAGCCGTGGAGAGCTGAGATTTTTTGGCAGGGCTTAAAACCGAAATCGATTAAGGAAATCATTACTCCCACGGCAGTCGACATCCTCAATCAAGTTGGCAGCAGCAGCCGGCATAGTTAATTATGCCAGTTATCAGGCTCAATGATGGATGCGCAGCATACTGATGCGAACTTAACTCGCCAAGCATAGTTGCACTGAGAAAAAATAACCATTCAAACTAAAAAAATAAAAAAATTCGCTATCTAAAAGTCTGCTTAAGAATTTTGCATTAATTAAAGAACGTTTTTTAATGAAGGCTGCCATAAAAGCACTAGTTTAAGGTGTCTAAAGTCGTCTTTCTGAATGAATTCAGGGTACTTCTGATTTAATAATATATCGTTGCATACTTTTAGACACCTACAATTTTCTAGTGATTTAATAGACTGCAGTAAACTCGAAAATCTCTACTTCATTTTAAACTTACTAAGCTAAAGCTTTTATAAATATCTAAAAATTTAGATATTATTTTACCTCCATTTAAAGATATCTTTCAACATTTTTAAATGAATAAATTCTTAATTTTTCTCAGTGCACTCGCACAAATTGCGTTGCTGCACGACAATTTGTCGACTGTTTGCCGGCAGCCCAGGAAAATGTGTGCTCCTAAGCAAGGGCAATAATTTTTGTGCATAAATGAAAAGCACACAAGAGTTGGGGGGAGGTTACGATATATAGGAGTCTACTAGTTCTGAGGACGGGGCTTTGGGGCTAGGGCGTCACATTGTTATTGTTGTTAGTGCTGATGCTACTGCTGCTGCTTAACTTGTGCAAACAACATTCTGTTTGTCTAATTGTAATTGCTGTTTTTACAGCAGCCCCCACATGGAAAGGAGGCTGTTTTCCATTTGGCCAGGAAAAGCTGAAAAAGCTGTGTGTGTGTCTGTGTGCCAAGCAACATGAAATATTTATGATGGGAATGGGCTAGAAATTCTTTCTTACTTCTTTTTTTGTTTTTTGGGGTCTTTGCATTTGGCCAGGCAATTAAGCAGGCGGCCCCCAGACCTCAGATGTGATTAGAATTGTAAGAAAAGTGCCAGTTGCTTCTTGGCCACGTAAATTTCAATTTGGCAATGGAAAGATCCAACCAATTGTGTGGGAGTGGGCCATATAACATTGCAACCCACTACCATTTGAATGCATTTTTAATGCGACTGGCCAAAAAAGCTTTTAGCTAATTTTTCAGCGCCCCGCTTTTATTGCCCGCTGTGTGTCTCTATTTCTATTTTGCTGTTTTCTGGCTTGGCCCTGGCATGCTTTTCGCTGTTCGGCAGCATAAACATTTTCATATATGCTCTCGGAATTAGTATGCAGCACACATAGAATGCCATTATGCTGCAGGACACTCAGGACATGCCGTTCCCAAAAACAGAAAAATGGGAACAAGTAGCACATTCTACTAGTAGTTGTAGTAGTAGTAGTAGTAGCTCGGAAAATTGTTTTAGTTTTCAAATGGAATTTTGTAATTTTAACGCCTTTGCCCGAGACTGAGACTCCGACTTGGCTAATAAGATGCCGGCTGTAGAAGTAGAAGCTGTGGAAGCCAGCCCGAAAGTTGACAACATTTCGTCCTTTCATTTCGCACAGCAGTCACGTTTGGCATGCAGACAAAGTGCTGCCCAAATACAAGCAAACATGCATACGAATGCGAATCCAAATGCGAATGCGAATACAAAAAAACTTGGGCGAAGGCGTTGACTTTAATATGGACAAGTTTTATATAGTCTGGCAGAGGGTGACAAAAAGTTAACACTTTTTCTGGCCATAGATAAACTTGTCACACTGCTGATTAGTCTTGATTGAAATAAGTAAAGCTAATTTTCTAAGAAATAAATCTTATGAATTTTCCAACAAAATATCCCGAAATCTTTACAAAAGGTGTCCAAAAGTATGCAATAAAATATTTTGAATTCAAAAGTTCGATTGGTTGATTTTTAAAAGCAATTATATATTTCATTGCCTACTTTTAGACACCTTATATCTCTTAACTATTTCTTTTTACAAATTAATGCAACTTTGTTTTATCCTTTTTAGATCCTGCGTGACATTCGACAGGGACTTTTGCAAATGAGTCGCGGCGAAGGACGCATGGGTGAGTACAAAAAAAGGGCACAAAAGAAGGACAAAGGAAAACTAGTGAAAAAGAGGAAAATCTAGGCGAGTGCCCCGAAAAGTATGCAGCCAGGAATTTTACACTTGAAGTGCTTCTGTTGCAAGTTGCAACTGCCTCGGCTGCAACACTAGGAAAAAGGGGGCGTGACCAATCCGCCCGTCTGGCGAGCGTCACATGCATAAGCGAGCATAAAATCTTATGTCCGTTTCCGGACCAGAATCCGCACATAAGCCCCGGACTCCAGACTCCGGAGCAACTTGCTCTGCTGCTCGCATGTGGCAAATGGCATTGCAAGTTTTGTGTGCAACGTGGCGTATAATAATATTGTGTTGCAGCCATTCTGCTGCCACTGCACATTTTTCGGTCGCTCGCAAAAAGTTTTTAAAGTTCCTCCTTCTTTCTAGTTTGTTTTTTTTTTTGTTCCTTTCTCTTGGAACTAATCGTAAGCCTTACTTGCGGCTGCTAAACTGGGTTTATCATCCTTGCAGACGATACGTACATGTACGACGAGGCGTTGAGAACGGGCGGCGGCATGGGGATCGCCGGACTGGGCATGCCCCTCGGACTGGCCGGAAACGGAGGGGGCGGGGAGCGGCCCATTATGCGGTGAGTGCCCTGCATCATCAAGGTCATTGGTACGACGAGCCGCCCTACGAGAGCGATCCCGATGACTTTCTCATGGCCGGGCTCAACTGCGGACCAGCTGCCACTATTCAGGTAAGATTCATCCTCAAAACATTTGTAACCCCTAAGTAGATTTTAAATATAATTTAAAATTTGTTTGAAAGTTCCACAAATATTTTATAGAATTTAAAATAGATGAAACATTGCTTGTTGAAATCCTGAAAAGACTTAAAAATATTCAAAGACATCTGATCATTTTTTAAAATAATTTAAAAAAAAGTGAATGAATTTATTTAGAATGTATAGCAAAATATGACGTTATTCGCCTTGTTTTTAATTTTTTAATATTAATAATTTTGTATTTTAATTTTTTTTATTTATATGCATAATATATTTATGACATTAGTATTTTTTAAAAAACAAGATAAAACAGAGGAACAAAAAATTCCAACTACCAAGACCTTCTAATATTTTCTGAATTTTTTTATGACACTTGGCTTGTAATATTTTATGCGAATAAATTAGTATTATTCATAGAACAACTAGAGAAAAATCTTAGCTCAATATTTCACACCAACCTTAGACAATTTTGGTGATTTGTTCAATGCGGCCTGAGTCATTCCCTTGAACCCACAAAAAAATTGGCAGCGGCAACATTGTCGCAGTTGCAATCACATTTGAAATTTATGCGCCGCATCCTGTGACGCCGTTAATCCTGAATCCTAGTTGCTGTGCGGATTCCTTCGGGCCGAGGGCCAAAACCCGATCCAATACCAATTTCAACTGCAAGCCGCTTTGATTTCTCTATGGAATTTGCCAGCCACAAAAGTTGTGAGGGAGTTTCCGCTTCTAGACATTTTTTTTTTTTTTTACCCCATCGAGTTTGGTTTTCTTCAGCGATTTTCGCTTTGTGGCTTTCTTCTATTTGCTTTATTAAATTATACGCTGAATATATTTTTGTGCTGGCGCATTGATTTCTACCCACTTCGATTTGTATGTCCATGTCCTTTGGCATTTCGTCGTCGTTCCTTTGCCTGTGTGCATAACTCCAGGACAAACTGCGACTCGAACTCACTTTATTTTTATTGACAGTCAAAAAGTGCATAATTCTTGTTGACTTGCTCGACTTTGACTCTCTCTTTTTTGGTCTGATTGTGGATTGATCCTGAGGGGAGGAGTTGCTGGAAAACTCTGTGAAAGACGTCGCCGTCTTGAGACTTTTCCTTTTGCATAATTTTCTTTGCCCCTTGATTTCTATTTTCTTATTTTTTTTTTCCTGCGTCTCCGGGAGTTGCGCTTTTGTCGGAACGCATTAGGCAAGTTATCGGGGGAATTTGTTTTCTTAGTCAATTGAAATCACTCAGCGCTGAAGCGTTCGAAACGGCCCAACTCTCGGGGGCCATTTGTGCGGGCCTCCTTCGCTTTTGGGCCCCTTTGATGTGGCCACGAAATTTGTTTAAAATTGAAATGAAACTTTTGCGGTTCCCGAAAAAAGGTTAAGCTCTCGCGTTTGTGGCTGCCTAACGGACCGAAGTAGCCGGAGATAATGCATTGAAATTGTTGAATTGTTGGCTTGGGTCCAGCCTCTTTGATCAGGGTAACATGATATGGTTCTATGTCAAAGCAATTCTCTGCGTCCCCAAAATATTGCAAAATAAACGAACCCGAAAGAGAAGGTCCTTTACGCTCAATTCCAAAAAAAAAAATCTGTATTAGAGATTGGAGGTTTTTCCACACTCCCTGCTTATCCAAAAACTTTGCTGCATTGCCTAAATTAAAAACGAGAAAACTTTGCAATTTCCGTTGCCAAACAAACATACGCCAAAAAAAAGAGGAGCGGGAAAAGAAAACCAAATTTGTGTTCACTAAATTTAAAATTCCAAGCCAAAACCGGCAGCCACATCAAATCAGTGCAAAAAAAAAGAAAAACAACAACAACAGCCAGTAAAAGTACAGTGAAGCCAAAGCAGGGCAACGGCAAATAAACTCGCTTCTCTCTCACGGCCCCATAAAGTTTTATAACTTTGTTAATTTTTCATAATTTTGTTGCTCTACAGCGGCCAACAAATTCTACTTGAATGCTAATCCCCATGTTGTGCGCAGTCTATCTCCCTCCCTCCCTTTACAAATAAGTGCACTGAAAAAAATATTGTTGGAAAGGAAAAATATGAAACTTACGGGTAGAATGATACAGATGAATCAGTTATTTTAAAACCATATTTTTAATATATATATTATAGCAAGGAACGAAAATAGTCATTATTTTTGATTTTTCTTTTTAAAGGCCTCTTAAAATATTAAAATATTTATTTTTAATTTGTACATTTTCTTTTCTTTTCAATTTGTTTAATTTTTACACCCCTTGTGGAAAAGACATTTATAAATAAAGAAATACTCACAAAATAATGATTATAATCATTATAAACAAATATTTATAGTCCCTGAATTTTAGGCTTAGTTTAAATAGTAGTTATAGTAATAGAATTGCCTTTTTTTATTTAACTTAATGTAGTTTTATGCATTTCCATATCATATTTCACCACTCACAATCCTAGATGCTAATTTCTTAATCCACTGTTTTATTTTCTCGATTTTAGATGGCGTTTTTCCCCCAGTGTATGTATGCCCCTCACTCACAGCTCTCTTCTCCGCTTTTTTTCCAGGGTGGCCGGGTGCGCTTCTCGAACAACCGCGAGAGCACGGGCGTAATTTCATTAAGATCCGCCGGAGATATTTCATTGCCGCAACGTGGACCGCCCCGTAGAGGTCTTATCGTGCCGCAGCAGCCGCCAAATCCACCGACAATAATACCCTTAACGCACGCCAGGTGAGTTTCCCCCCCTCAGGAAGTTTGGGTTTCCAGGGGGGCAATGGCCGGTTGTTGATTGCCATTATTATTTGCAGTTGAGTTTATGGCCAAAGGGCCGACACCGATGTGAAGGTGGCGCATTAATAAATAAAACGATGCCCTTAGAGTGGGCAGTTATGATATGGCAAATACAATTGCCGAACCTGAACCCAAAATCTCGAACCCTTTTCCGCACTTCAAAGGCAGGGATCAGTGAACCATAAAACTGTGCCACAAACGAGCCCAGTGTGGCGTGAAAAGGCCAAGCTTTTGCGACCAGCAAACACTAATAGCTGAATAGCTGACCGAAGGCGAAAGCAATCAAACAGCTCAAGTCTGGCATCTAGTATTTATTTGTCAATCGGCAAAAGGTGACCCCTTCAGACAGACACGGAAAAAGTCGGTGAAAAAGGGTAGACTTCACTTCATTAGTGCGGTTATCAACGGTCTGCAGCCAGGCGATTGAATGAACCAATGAATGAATGAATGGGGGGCTTGAATGAGGGAATTAGTGATTGAGTGAGTGAGTGAGTGACAAACGAACCAGCTTGACTGGCAGACGGCACACATATCGAAACGCATCGGAGCGAAAGTCATCAATTTCATATTGTTACGCATGCCACACTCGCATCTATATACATATATATGTATGGATTCTGGATTCTGGATTCTGAATCCTGTAGCCAGTATCCTGTATCCAAAAGCAATAAGCACAGGGGCAGCAAGACAGGCCGGGACACTTGAATGAAATGGCATTATTGCTACTTCAACGCCAATCCATCCACAAGTCAGAGCGCCAGCTCCTCAATCAGCCAGCCAGCTAGGTAGACAGGCAGGAAAAAGGAAAATTCCAGGGGGGCAGGGATGGGAAATGGGTGCGAAATGGAAAACGAGGAGCCCTGCGTTTTCCACACGTACGCATACAAAAGGACTTGCTGAAATAACTTATACGCCTCGTGCGCCGCTGGGGCCACAAAACGAGTCAAACGAAAAGAAAACTTTTTCTTCTCACGAAATGCGAAGGAAGAAGCCACGGTAGAATGGGCCAAATGGAAGGTGGAAAACAAACAGCAAAGGCAACCAAAAGTGAAAATCTCAACCAGTGTTGAAGCCAAATGGCAAAGGGAATGGAATCTGCCAAGGAGAAAAAAATATATATAAGAAAAAGATATCAAGTATTTATTTATATGACCTTTGTTTGCCACTCGACCTCGGGTCTTGTATATCTACCTCAGCCTCTCGGGTCGACACCTTCTTTGCCTTGGCTTATTGTTTGCCATCAAAATGTTTGCCGTTTTCGATTTTAAAGTTATTTTTGGCCATTATAGGGGGCAATTTTCGGAACAGCCTTGTAAGAAAGAAAGAGATTTTTTTAATACAAAAAAATTAAATGTGAAATGGATACTATTTGAAGCAGATTTAATTTGGGTTTAAAGTGAAAATGATAATACTACAGAAGCTTTATTTGGGGCTTAAGAAGTTAAGGGTGTGGTATTGTATGGAAGTTTACCTAGAGATATAGTTGATTATCTGTAGTTTTCCTAGGCATTGATAGCTTTATATATGTTGCTAATGATTATTTTATATCTTGCAGATCTCATGATCGCGAAAGCGGCGACTATGCGGGCTCCATCTCAGACCTACAAAGCGTTACCTCCAGGCTCAGTGCGGTGTCGGTAAGTCTAGAAACAGAGTTCCCATCGGATGGGGCTCATTTAACTTGCAGCTTGGGTCGCTCCTCCAACTCCAACTCCTACTGCACCTCCAACCCAAACTCCATTTCAAACTGCGACTGCATCTGAATGCGTCTAAATTGATTAAGTGCTCTTTGTGACAAACAAACTTCGCATTTGGCCAATGTCGTCTGGTCGAAAATGGACGATAGCTGAAATGCACGTAGATAGAGGGAAATAAAAACGAGCGGGCGACCGAGCAAACGCACACAAACTTGAAAAGCTTTTTAGCCAAGTTTTTCCCCCAAACTCCCCTAGTTGGTTTTAGTATTTTTTCCTTGTTTTCCCGGAGTCGGAGTTGGCACTTAAGCCAGCTAAACGTTGCCGGAATACGTACAGCAAATGCTATTGGTTTGGATTTGGGATGAGGATGAGGGGCAGCGACCATTTCATTTGCAAAGTTGACTTGCCCTAACTTGGCTAATATGGAAACGCACTCAATCCGCTTTCTCCCCCCAACCCCTCTATTTTTTTCCTATACAGATTGGCACCAACAACTGCACGGCCCGCTATAGAACCCTAAGCGGCGGAATCGGGGAATCACCATCGCTGTCGCCCAGTCCATCGTCGGATTACGAGGACATCGGAGTGACCCGGGGTCACGGATGCCTGCCCCCCAGCCTGCTGGCCGCGAAGGCCAAAAAGAACGGACTGCCCCACGGCAAGGCGAACACCATTTGCCAAAAGGCCACGGTGCATCATGTAAGTTAATTAAACGCTAATGCCAGGAAAGGAAAGCAAATTGCAGGAGGATTAGGATGAGGATGAGGATGAGGAGTACAAGTGCATCGGTAGATGCAGATGCAGAGATTTTGTTGACACATTTTGTGGCCTGCAAAATGTAATTAGCCACTTGGGGGCCCTGCATATGCAATTGGCTTCAACTGGGCCTTGGCCAAAGCCAAAGCAAAAGCTAAATCCTCATAATGGGTCTCGTGGCTCGGACCACAACTCTTTGGCGCGACATGCACTCTAAATGCAAATGCCAGTTTAATGAGTTTTTATGGCCGCTTGCACTGTTTCGTGGGCTCGTAAAAGTGAAAGTTCATCTCGGCAAACTTTCGATGCGAGTCGAGGCCTGCCAAAAAAATATGAGCAAAGTTTTTCGGTGTCCAGGCCTCAGCTTAAGGCCAAGAGCAACTAATGCAGTCAGTGCTTAGAACCAAATAGCGAAACACAGGAAAATATTTAACGGATATTTGTATACTACGGCTCAAATATATATATATTTAAGGGCCTATTAAATAAGAGATACATCAGGAATTACAATCCCTTGGTTAAATAATATATTAGTATTTTTTACTGTGATTAATTTCCAATAAAGCCTTTTTTTTTAGGGCTTATGGATATTCGCTAGAAAGGGTCCATTAAAATGTGAGTTATATCAGGAAGGTAACTAAACAGAATGGGATATATTTTTTGGTAAACTAGTATGTTAATGGTGTGATCGAATTTCAAGAAAAGTATTCTTGTAAAGGGTTTTTGGTATCAGTAAAAATATGGTTATTAAAATGTTAGCTATGTCGGGAAGATAAAAAATTAGAATGCCATATAGTTAATGTATTAATATTGGGGTAACTTTAAAACAAAGTGTTTTAACATTAGTTTGATCCCAACAAAAATATAAGTTACTTTTTATTTAACGTGTATACAAAGTCAAGTCTCCTGCTCTCTGCCCTGCCTTGACGTATTGGTATGTTCGTTTTAAACTTTTTAATGATTTAACTAACAAAACTTTCCTGCTGTTCTTGTTCTGTTTCTGGTGCTCCCCTTCAACATGCAATTTATTGCACAACGATGACGACGACGACGACTACGACGACGATGCAACCAAACACACGGAAAAAACACGGATAACTTTCACTCCGGCTGGGCTTGACTTGGGGATTGGAACTGGAATTGGATTGTTAGTCGGGCGAGATGCGTAGCTCGGCAAAGGAAATTGGCGCATTTAATGAGAATGGACGGAACTTTGTTGCCACAAAGGATACGTCGAGGGATTTTAGCAATTCCCAAGATAATACCGACCGTGGCAGCATGAGCGATCAGGCGTTCGCCTGTTCGGCCAGCTCCGTGGAAAGTTTGCCCAGTGCTTCCGGTTCGAGTAAGTATATATAATAGAGGGATAAGGGATAAGGGACAAGGGATATGGATACGGGATACAGAATACAGAGTTCAGGATACAGGGCTGTGTATCTCCCGGGCTGTGTATCTTTGTCTGAGCTGGCAATTTAGAGTTTTCGGGTTTGATTTCCGTCTGCTGCTTTTGCTGCACCAAGCTGTCTGTGCCTGGATGTTGGATGCTCCTTTCCACCGGGAGATGGCCATGGAAAAATTCCCAGACTGCCTTGCCTGGCTGGCTTGCATATTGGTCTATTAACAGTTGTAGTTCTTGTTGCGGTTTTTTGTTGCTCCTTCAAATTTTGCAAACTTAATGAATTTTTAATGCACTTGCTGCTCTGCAGGCTGGCCTCTTGGGGGCTCAAAAAATGGGGGCCAAGTGCCAATGGGCGATGGGCGGTGCAGATTGCAATGTCTGGGGCGTGGTTAAATGAAGGGCAACCGCTTCCTTTTTAATGAACAAAACTTTTGGCCAAATAAAAGGCAACACCAGGGATGGGGAAAGGATAGATGGGTGGGTGGGTGATACAACTTTGAAAAGTGCAAGGAAAAATACTTTATTTTTCATGTGGCCAGGGCACAAAGCAAGGATTAGCCAAAAGCTTTGGCCAGCAAACCAAACAAAAGCAACGCAAGCAAAGAAAACAACACAGCACAGAGAAATAATGGAAAACTTCAAGTGCATACTTGAATATTTTCGGGGCCAAGTGTGTGTGGGTGTGTTTGAAAATATTTGAAAAGTTTTTAATTAACCAAACGAATGGGTGTGAGTTCGAGTGTGCATGTGCATGGCTGGCTGTTTGTCCATAGTAAATTCCTAGGGTCCTGCGGCTAATTGGCTGTGGGCGCATTAATTGGAAATTTGCCAGGACAAACTTTGGCCCAAAAACGGAGAGCAAATATTTATCAATCCCCCCCCTCATTGAATCCTTTTGCCCCCGCAGGCACCCAGGCTTTGGTTCGTCCTGGCAGTCCGCACAGCTCGATTTCGGCCGAGGATCGCACCTCGATGGCCAGCTGCATCTGCAAGGCCAAGGCTTTGGTGGACAGTTTGCCCAATCCCTACGACAAGGAGGCGCTTAAATTCAAGGTGAGTTGGTATTATATGGAGTACTTAATGGGTTACAGGAATTTCTACTTAGAAAACTATTAACTTGTTTGAATAAGTTTCCTTAATCGCTTATAATTTTGAAATTACTTATAAATTTAATTTTAGGTGTCTAAAAGTAGGCAGTGAATAAGGCATAATCGTCTTCCTGATTGAATTAATTGTACTTCTGAGTTTAAAATATAATGTTGCATACTTTTAGACACCCAAAATGACTTGTAAACGTGATTTCAAAACCCTAAGATCTAATTTCCCTCTATAAAATCAGTTTTGCCTTCTAAGAAGCTGTCATTACTTCTTAAAAAGGATTTCCCCAAGCATGCTTATCTAATAACATTATTATACCATCTGCAGAAGGGCGAGCTTATTGATGTGCTGTCGATGAACGCCTCGGGCATTTGGAAGGGACGCTGCCACGGCCGAGTGGGCCACTTCAAGTTCATCAATGTGGAGGTGCTGCCGGAGCAGCGGATGAAGAACTCCAGCAGCAAGACCCTTGCACCCGGCTCCCGTCTGGCCAATCCCGGCAATGGAAGCCACAACGGTGGACCCTGCTCCGTGGAGGACCTGCTCATTCGCATCGGACTCAAGGAGTACACCTCCGTCTTTGTGCTCAACGGGTAAGTGGTGTAGATGAAACAAATTTACCAACAATATTTTTGTTGGATTGTTTCACCTATCGTTCCATTTGCAGCTACGAGGACCTGGAGCTCTTCAAGGAACTGGAACCCGCCGACCTGGACTACCTGGGCATCCTCAATCAGGAGCATCGTGCCAAGCTGCTGACGGCTGTGCAGCTGCTGCATGACATTGAATGTAAGTCCAGAAACCAGAAAGCCCCTATGAAACACCAGATTACTGGCTAGATTTATGCACCTGATAACATGGTAATAATGGCAAACGTGAGAAAGTTGGTATTATAAAATTAACGTAATTAAACCCGAATTGAACTTTTAAATAAAGTTAATATTTTGTGTAATTTGTTAAGGCATTGTGAAATTGATAAATTTAAATCTAAAATTTATTGGGCATATCAGAACTACAATGTGGTCTTTATCTGCTTTTCTGATAAGTTTTATGAAGCTATTAAAGCGGTTTTTGTAAATAGGTTTAAAGTACTTCGTCTTGCGTTCGCCCTTTTCCGTACGTCATTGCTGAAATAGATTAAATATTGATAGAGCCTAACCTAACCCACTGTCAACTTGCACCAAACACCAAACCCACACCCACTACCAACCACCCACACATCCACTTATACTCACAGCTACAAATTTCGCCCGCACAGGCTCCGATGTGGATATAGCCGGTTCCAGTTCGGAAAATGACGAGGCCCGCCTGAATAACATCAATATCAAGCATGGAGCTTCGCCCTTTGGCCGGAGGCACTTTCCCCGCGATTCGGGATGCTACGAGGGATCACCGCTGCCCAGCTCACAGACACCCACGCAGGCGGTGAACTCAACGGATGAGTCGAACAGCCTGGACGACGTGGTGACCAAGTGCTCCAGCGAGATTATGAAGCGTGTGGAGAGCGCTCGCCGCTGCAAGGACAATCCCTTCAAGGCCACGCTGCCGGGCGGAGGACGACTGGGCAAGAAGTCCTTTCTCGGCGGCAACGGCCTTATGGCGGACGATACGCTCACGCGTGGAGGGCTTAGCGAGAAGTCGAGCGATTCGGGGGTCAGCAGCAGTTCGCTATCGTCGGGTCCGCTGAAGAGCAGCACTTAACATTTGCCCACCATACTGGCCCACGAGCTGCTCCTGGGCGTGGGCTCGGGCATGGGTTTGGGAATGGGTCTGGGTCTTGGCCAAATGGGCCACGGCACTACAGGAACCCTGACGCCTCATGGAGTGGCCGTCACCGCCACCTCGCCCACCGCCCACTCGGCGCCGCTGGGAAACATCTGCAACACGCTGCCGCATGCACCGAGCTCCTCAAGTGGCGGCGGCCTGTCATCCTCCTCCATGGTTAGCAATCTGCCACTGAACCGGAATCTGGTGATGCTGCGCAATCACCTGCGAAAGAATACGGGCGGCAGCAGCAGCATTACGGGAAATGGCGGCCCAGGATGCTCATCCGGTGTGGGAGTACAGCTGCTGCAGGATCAGGACGACCGACTGGAGGATCAATAACCCATTTACTACATCAAGTTCTTAGTTTAGTCTCCCGTTGAGTTAAGTGTATTTCAATTGCTGTGATTCGATAGTGAAAACAAAAGGCCAACACGCGTCTTTCAGTTCAAATGTATAGTATGTATAGAGAGAGATAGACAGACAGTTAGGGAAAGAGAGAGGGCGCTATAAAGTGGCAGATGTGTGTAGAGGGAGATAGTAAGCAGAGATAGTCAGAGTCAGTCAATCCTTCCTCCGATAATGTTGGCATTTACACAAATATTTAACACTTATATATAATATATATATAAATACAGACTTTACAGACTTATATATACATACACATCTGCAGCAAAATGAGAAATTTTTATATACTTAGTGACGTAACAAAGGTGTTTGAAATGTTTTGACTATTTTTAGTTAGCCTCAAGCTATGTATTGAATGAGACTTGTATGATTTGCCATTTGTTTACTGTTTAATTGCTTTGTGTATGCATATTTCTCAACGTGATATTGTGAAACGTCCAACTTGAATTGCATTTTATATATAGATTCATTTCTAACGTTTTAATATTACACTCACACACACATAGAAGTTGATTCCTATTTTAAGGCACTAATCTGAGTGCAAGCAATAGACCAATTCAATTTTAACAACCAAGAAAAACAAAATATTTACACACAAAAGGATACAAACATAGGGAGAACAGAACACCAACTGCCATTCGAAACTAATTTTAATTTGTTAAACTCGTACATATAAGGACAGTGTAAAGGTAACGAACGCATCGTGCAAATCCGTCAGAAACTTGTAAAAATAAATGCCGAAAATTGCCAAATCGCGCAAAAAAGTAAAGTACGCTAAGCAATATTTTCAAATCGTAGCGAGTCGGGTCCGGATCACGTGTACATATATAGGATTGCGATCCAGTTAAGATTTATTATGCCACTTATAGAAGATATCAAAACGTATCCACTATGAGCGATTTAGCGATAATCAAAAGCAGACAATGAAATTAGTCAGGCAGCGCAAATGTTTTTAATCAGTTTCCAGCAATTAGTTAAATAAATGAACGAGTATTTATCAAGGCACAACAACTACGAATAACATATTAAAGTTTAAACTGATTAAAATACACATTAAAGAATAGCATAACCTAGCGTAGAGCATATGATTCTAATATAGCAATTGAATAAATGTAAATGAGTTTATTTGGAGAACGCTTTGACTTCTACTCAGAACGTAATTAAACCTGAACATATTTTGTGAACATAAGATATATCGATATTCGTATTGTAATTCAATTAACACTAATCGCAAATAAATTAAATCAAATTTAAACAACAAACAAATCGCACGTGTTACAGCCAGACGAAAAGAAGGTTAAAGACAGATTATATTACACGAGTATGTGGAATACTGAATTATAGGCATTTTTTTAAATTTAACTATCCCAAATTACATTTAAGTGTTTCAACTGTAAATTGTATCAAAGTCAACAAAAGAATATTTATATATTTAAAACGACGAAATGAGAAGCGAACACAAAACGAACACATCCACACAGCATGTGCTGCTAGCATTTTCTAATTATCACTGTAAAATGATGTAATTTAAAGACAGAATATATAAGCAATATTAAAGTTTAACCTAACAAGGAGCCACAAAATTGATCATTAAGTCAACACATTACAATTGCAAAACAAAAACAAACATTAAAATTCCAATACACAAAGTAAAAAGAGAGGGCAAACTAAAGTAATCAGAGTTCAGTAAATTTTAGAAGAAATTTTCAACAAAACCAAAACAAAGTGGAAGGCGATGATTCATGTTTGTGCATAAATCAAAGTAAAATTCTTTAAATAAAAGTGAACATATCTAAAAAGTAAAGGATAATGGAAAGTGTTATTATTGGGATTCGGTGGAATTATTGTGGGTTGTTTGTTTAAGCAACTCAAAGGGTAACTATTTTTATATCCATCTATTTAAGTAGGTGCCTGGTCATTACCTTTCATTGACTCTTATTGGCATTGACTTTCCCATACCCTTGGAACTGATGGGTAAAGCTCTACTTAAGTGCCATCCAGCTTTTGATCGGGCAAAGGAGACCGCCCCATTGGTTATAAGAATCAATTTGGACCAGGCAATTGGAATTTAGCGAATGACCTCGCCAGCTCAAGTGATTCACCTAAGCCCAACTCAAGATTCGTGAAATGTAAACGATCTCCGAACCAGGAACCCCTGAATCTCCGACGCGCTCTGATGGACGCAGCGACTTGGTGTCGGTGTCAGTCAATAGATTAGCACAGCGCCGACATAAACTGCTCTGATTAAATTTACAGATCCACTCCTTATCCCAGATCTATACTATCTGGTGTGCCGGTGCTGATAATGATGCTGATGATGATGTTTATTCATAGAGTCGACTGTCGTCGCTGGCTTAGTTTTTTACAGCGTCTAGTCGGGCGGCCGGGAACTGAATTTGCGCTTAAGTGCTTTAGTAAATTGTTAAATTGCTTTTGTCTTTCGCTCGGCCAGTATATGAAAATATGAAAATTGATATTATTGCATTTGCACAAGCCGAGCCAAGTGGACTCTATCTCATTGCCAGCTACGTGTTCTCGGCTTGGTTTCAGTCCCAGTCCCAGTCCCAGTCGACAGTCAAAAGCGGGAGCAGCTCAAACAGAGCCCCAAGATAAACGTTTATTTAATCTAATAAGCAAATAGAAACAACAGAAAAAAGTATAAAATACGAAGAAGAAATTCAGATAAAATCCTAACGTTAAAGTGCAAGTGCAATGGATGTTGTCAAAAAAGCTTTATTTCAACGGATCCTAATCGGGCTTAGTTTCCAGTTGTAACTCACGTTTAGCCGCATGTCTTTGCTTTGTCTAGTCCCCGAAATAATATTTCTCAATCCCGAAAGCAATCATCTCGTGTTTTGTCTATCTTATCAGAGCTGAGAGGCTTACGAACTCGGTGGGCTACTGGCTTATGGCCTCTATAAAGATGAAATTGCATCTGCAATCGCCTGGAGGCCCCATATCAATCAAAATAGTTCATTTTATATGAGTGACAGCAATTGAAATGTAAACAATTTTACGACCATTTACATATTTATTATAATAATGTGAGATTCCCCGACTTTATTAAAACCTAATTAACCATTTGTTTTGCTGTACCACCGATTAGCATGATGACTTACCAAGCCCTTATCAGTGATAGTGGAGAAAGGTGATTAGATTTGAGGGCCCAGTGGAAAAAACATAACCTGCTCAACGGGGCAGACATCATTTTCAGAAAAAATTCGGACAGGTTCAGATTGCCTGGCTCTCGGAATGGTTATACACATTTGTGTAAATCAGATAGACGTTCTGTTATCAGTAATTTGTTTTATAATACCCGTCTTGGCCTGATAAGTCGCCCCACAGCCCTTGGGGCAGTCAGAACAACACCGCCGTGTGTTGGCCACAGTTGATGAGCTCTCGCAGGCGTTGGAGTCAAAAGTTTCACCGTTTCGCGACGGGATGTGAAAAGTGCAAAGAAGCTGGCAGAATACGTTTATATTTCCAAATTTCCCTTAGATTGGGATGAAGCTTGAACATAATTCAAAAACTCAAAATATCAAATCAAAAGTGTGAAGAAATCAAGTTTTCAGAAAACGTATCAAAAATATTCAAGTTTTCGTGCACTCAATTAAATCTAGCGGTGAGTGAATTCAAGAAAGTTAGCTTATATTTTGAAAAAAATTTTGGGTTGTGTGGAAACTAAAATAAAATCTGTTTTTAAAGAGTTAAACTGCTAACAGTTAAAATTATTTGTAAAATGGATTTATGATGAATAAAGCCTATACATTGACAAATCTAAACACTTATTCACACCAGCAAGACATTTACTAGCTCTTAGTAATCATAATAATACGACGAAATGTATACTGTTAAAGCGTGCAACCAATGTTTACTTTAAAAAATGTATGTTATAAAGATAACATCCCATTATTCCGTTGTATAATTATTATTATTATAAAAAGTTCGACTGAGCGTTGTATAATTAAATAACAGAATAATTCAGTTTCCAAGTGCTTTGACATCCCACATCTCAATTAGAAAATTATGGCTACAATTCTAAGAGAGCTTATAACTATGAATGGTTTTATGGTTCCAATCATATATGACTTAATAAGTTTTTATGTTCATAATTTGAAGATACTAAAAACGGACAGGCGCCAACTGGCGTGGCCAGAAGTGTCTGGTTAGAAGCTACGACAATCTTCCGGAGCTAATTGCCGAGCAATCTCCTCATCCGATCTTCTTTCTGCGCCCCAGATGCCATAAAGATTACCCTGCTTATCTGGCCCTACGACTGACTGGGGACTAAAGCACCGGAATACTGGTAGTGCAAAATGAGAGACAAGAAGGAACAGGCGTACAGCCGGAAGGCCTCCCAGGTCTCGGGACACTTCTCCCAGATGGACGTTGACGATTCGGAGTTCAACGATCCCTTCCAGACCGTCATGGAGAAGGCCGGCAACCATGGTCGCTATCAAACCCTATACAACTTCCTGTTCGTTGGGGGCTTGGCCTGCAGCGGTGCCATGATCTACATGAACATCATCCTGGCCCTCAACATACCCGATCACTGGTGCACTGTGGCGGGCAGGGAAAACACCAACTTTACGCTGGAGGAGTGGCGAGACATCACCCTGCCCAAGTAAGTGGGGTGTGCTTCCATCCAAATGCAATAAATTGAATCTAGTTTTGGAATAGACAGGCCGACAATCGTGGCAGGGAGACGTTTAGCAATTGTGAGATGTATCAGACCAACTTTTCAGAGATCACGGACTGGTCCGCTTGGAATACCAGCCAGCGGACGAAAACCACAGAGGGTAAGTTGAAAAAACATTACCTTTAAGTACAATACAATTATAAGAGATGTGTCTATTGGTGCTATATATTTATAACTAGAAATTTAAAAATGTATTTAACCAGTTTTGTGAAGAACTATGCTGTAAAGAAAGTATGTGAGGTAGAACAGCGAACTTAAGTTATTAAAAAGCTAATAAGATCTTTAAACGGATATAACACTTTGTGTTTTACAATTTAATAACCAAATGGAAGGTAAAAAACAAGGGGGTTTCTAACCTTCAGAACCTCCCCTGTATTTAGAAATGTTTTTAATTTTGGGGACAACCAGCGAATTTAAACGAATTTGTATCAAGCTACAACATTTATTTATTTGTGTTAACTTTCCGATAAACCTCATCAAGTGGTAGGCTTATTGCCAAATATTTATCGAGCTCCCCGTTTTTCACATCAAACAAAGATAAAGTAAATACATACATTTGCCGGATTAGTGGCGAAATTACTTGGTTCTCCTGCTCTGTTTTCTTATAAATATTTGCAACTTTGCACTCGAATGCATTTTACGACCGCCCACTCGTCCTTTCAGCCTGCCAGAACGGGTGGACTTACGACACGACCTGGTACGATAGCACCATCCCCACGGACCACAACTGGGTGTGCGCCAAGGATTTGTTCGTGACAAATGTGTTCGTGGTGGGTCGTGTGACGGAGGTGGCCGGTTCATTTATATTGGGACAAATGGGCGACTCGTAAGTAGCGCGACTTCCACCTTCCAACCTAACTAAGTTATGGCAGCGCCGGTAATTGAATTTGTCCACTTGGCCGCAGCTATGGTCGCCGGTTCGTGTACTACATCAGTGTGGTCTTCTGCTCCCTGGGCCGCTTTGGGTCCATCATGTGCACCAGCTCGTACACGTGGTTCCTCATCATGACCGGCATCGTGGGCCTCACCGTCAACAGCCTCTTCCAATCGCCCCAAATTATCGGCATGGAGATCTCCCGGGAGTAAGTTTCTCCAAAAGTTTTCGTCCAACTTTTATTGCTGACCCACACTCCTCCGTTTTTTTGTTTTGTCCAGGGAGGACCGCAGTCGAATTGCCTTCTTCCAGAGCTGCGGCTGGTCCGTCGGCACCACCCTGATGCCCCTGCTCTACTGGTGGCTGCGCCACTGGGACTCCTTCATGTGGCTCACCTCGATACCCACAGCGATGGCCCTGCTTCTGTCTAAGTAAGTCACGCAGTCACAGCCCATTCGAAATCTAATCACCTCCTTTCTGCTGTGACATTAATTATTTCTTAAGTTTCTTCATTCCATTTCATGAGAAGTAATCACAAACTTTGCCAGAAAATATAGAGCCATTTGTGACTTTATCAAATAAAACCATTACTGTTTTAAAGAAAACTCCTGTACTCTAAATAATCGTAGATTTCTTAAAGATTTTAAAGATATCCCAAATCTGATCATCTTTTTACATTTCTCTTCTGACATTTCCGAATGAAACCATCACCGTTTTCAAATGAAATCCCATGTTCATCCAATAAATCCTGTTTCACCGTGAATTTCCCACAGATACGTAATCGAATCGCCCCGATGGTTGATTAGCAAACAGCGTTTCCGGGAGGCCATTGTCCAACTGCAGAAGATAGCAAAAATAAACGGCCATCGCTTCGACATGACCGAGAAGGAATTGGCCGAGATCTACAGTCGGGACAAGCAGGACGTCACCTACGGCATGGCATCGCTCTTTGCTGGCTGGCGGCTGGCCCGCAACACAATCATCATGGGCTTCAGTTGGTGAGAAATGGGGATAAACTGGGAGAAAATAATGGAACTTTAGCATAGATCGATCCTGAAAAATTCATTTAGTGTTCTTAGATAACTTATTTCCGCATAAACCATTGGTTTTATTAGAGCTGTTCTTATTGAATGGGTTAAAAAT